GCGCAAATTTGTATGCAGTTGCAAATGCAGCGAAGCATCCATCCAGAGGAGTGAGGAATTAATGAAAAGTGAAATGCCGTCTGCGTTTATATTTAGATTCTATTTCCTTTAATTTATTTAAAGTTCACATTTATACAAACACTATTTATCTCGGAATTTTAATAACCCGAGCGAAATTAAACAATGTTACTTTGGGTACAAGTAAATGCATCGCCCAAGGTGCGCATACATCACTCCAGTTGGTCCCCGGCGTGCCGCTGGAGTTCATATAAAATATCTAAATCTAGATCTGTCCGTCGAGGAGTGGCCGGGGCTTAGAATTAGAGCCGGGCGCGATGTAAACGAACGAAAACGTGCTGTGACGCGCGTCGAAGAAAAACAACGTCTTGGTGGAGCAATCTTCGCCGAAAATAGCCGCCGACGCAGGGCAATGCCGTAATGCGTCCAGAACGTCGAGAGTCTGCAACGTGTCAGCGTCACTTGCCGCCAATAGGGAAACACTTATTTATATCAGAGGCGTTAAGGGCAACGCAACTGCGTGAAAAATTAAGGGCAAGGGCACAAGACACAGGATTTCCAGTCGGTCTTGCGTTAGGTTCGCGACAAACAAGTGCGCGCGCGCTGCTAAAAATACACGCATCGAGAGTTGAAATAACTATCAAAGTGCCAATAAAACGTTCGCCGGTTGCTTTCATTAATTAGACGGACGGTATAATTGCGTATCAAGGACGACAGCGCGTCATTCATCATTCGCGCCCCGTTCCTGCGTTTCGCAATAGTTTATGTGCGTTTCACACGCACTCGTAATCGATGCCGGCCTGTGTGTTGTTACATTTATAAAACGCAAAAAATACTCGATGTAGAACTTTGGTAAATGTTGTTTTGCTGTTTATTTGTTGTTTCCCCGCTTGTACGCTGTCAATCAAGGTGCATAATTAGTCACACTCGGGAAAATTGTTGCGGCACTCGCGTTGCGCAATCACGCCGATTAGAATTACAATTCATAATGGCTGCATACCTGGAAACTGTAAAATGTGCGCGCGTATAGTTGCACATTTGATTGACAGACTGTTGCCGGCCGAAGTCTTTCCGCTGGTGGTGCGTGGTGTGTGAGCCAACAAGCTCGAATTGTTTCGTCCATAAAAAGTCAAAGCCACTGACAATAAAATAACATTTAAGCGTTTATCAACTTCGGTCGGCTGCGGCCGGTTGGCAGGCGCAGAAATAGCTCGCCGCCGCGGACAAATGGCACAAATCCGACGCGCAAATGCAACAAACATTATCGGCGGGCGCGCATGCCGGCGAAGTTATGGCGCATTCTTTTCCACGGCGTGCGTGCGAGCGTGCCCGCGCCGGCGAAATAGAAATAGACCTTTAATAGTATAAATTTCAATTGAAGATAAAATTAGAAACGGTTGGGGAGTCGCGGTACAAATAAGGCGAATATCAGGCGTGTGTATTCTTTGTGCGCGACATTGTCTTATTGTGGCCGGAGTTTCCATGCACCATGCGCGCGGAAAAATGCCATTGTACTTTTTCTACCGCTTCGGATATGGGCCTCCGGTGAGTAATGTCGATATCGAGGCCGCGCCCTTTCGGCTTTGTGTCCGTATATGTGTGTTTTTTCTGTCTTTTTAACGAAATAATTACGCTCGTGTCTGGCTATGCCCGCAGCCCGAATGCTACAGTTGTAATTGTTTCGCCGCATTGTTTCACGCTTGACTAATCGCGCATCTGTTGTGATAGGCAATTAAATATCGATTAAAATATCAATTTCTCGAGTCAATATAGTGCACAAAAATGGGATTGTCTAATTAAGTGTGTTTGTAACAATACAGCACTAAATGCCATGACTTTATGACCAAATCACCTTTCGGGAAACTCTAGCCATGTGTGTCTATAAACAAATGTTACACAACTAATTAGGTATTCAGTGCTATGAAAATTGAAATCCACCGCAACTGATTTAACGCGTTTATAACTTCATAATCTCCTGGGATTGGAAACCTGTATTCAATTTATGCCCTTTCTCATGCGCGCGCTGGTAACGCGCAACTAAAGTTGCAGATTTCACAAATTTGGTTTTCACCAATTTCGAATTAATGAGAATGTTACACGTGCACTTTACAAGTGTGAAAGTTAGCAACTCGCGCCGCAAATGACTTTCCAACCTCATGCATTATTTACGCCTGGGCACTTTTCTCACTTCAGCGATAATAATGCGTAAATATTAATGCGTCTCATTTCGGCTTCCGACAACTCGGCTACACTCGCAGAAAAGTCGCGATGGCGAACGTTGTCCGCATCACGCGCCGCTCGAATCGAACCTTTCAAGAAGCCGTCTGCAATTTATAGCCCATCGCAGCCGATGTGGTTGAACCCGCGACGATCCGCGCGTTCCCACATGCGCACCCGATTAATGAGCGAATTTATGAATGATGCTCATGTTCGCGCTAAGAGGCCAAGACGCGCTCGCACCGTCAGACGTTTATTAATAATGCAATTTCTTGTTGTGCGCTTATAAATAGTTGCGCCGCAAGCCTCAACATATTTGCACTGCCAGTAATGTAACTAAATTCGTTTCGTAGATCATCAGTAGTCATTGCCGCAGACATGACTAAATTTGCGGTTTTCTATTAGCAGAAGATGTCACAACTTTTAGGAATATCCGAAAAAAAAACGCGCGTGGGATGGCGCCAAGGCGCCGGGTGAATTAATCATCACCCGGATGGATGATCTTTGGGTCTAACATATCGGAATCAGTCAATCACCACGTCTCTTCAGACGAAAAAAGATTCATCCCGGCTTTTTATACCTACCTTTGAAAAATGACTTAGGGTTTCAAGATAACAATCGAGTGCTTTTAAATTTTAGTCGTGGTGAAGATTTCACTTTTCGTTTAATGAAAGAAGGAAAATTCACGATCGATAAATGTCGTATGTAAATATGTACAATAATTATGTAAATGGGTTAAATGCGCTTAGATGAATTTATGAATACACAATGCACAATAAATACTAATAATGACAACGTATAAATCTCACGATGCAAGCACGAAGAGATGAGAAGAAGATCCCAATAAGCGATATAACATGACGATAATGCCGGCATAATGCGACGTTATAATATGCACGCGGTTTCTTGTCCTGTCATTCACCAAAATTGAATTATGGAACGAGAGTAAGAACAAGCCTTTTATGATAATCACGAAATCGGTTTTCAACGCCGTCTGAATACGACTTTTATTCGAATTTCGACCGCGGCGGTTTTTCTGGACGCAGCCGTCATTCGTCGTCGGCTTGCCTAGGCGCGATGAAGCAATTCCGCGCGTTGACACGAAACATTAGCGCCGTCAAACGTCCTTAGTTTATAAGGTTTTTATGTTTTCGAAAAGCTCTCCGGAATGAAACGTGCCTTTGTGCCTGTCGCATCCGATGGCGGACGCATGCTGCAACCGTAACCGTATCCGAAATGTTTAAGGCTTTAAGAGCTTTAAAGCTGTTGCTCTCGCGTCGCTTCTTATAAATGTCAACGTAGCGTTTTTATTTTTAGCGCCCGACCTCGCCGAATGTATTTGCTTCCCTCGTCGTGCACGTATGCGTGTGTGTGGACTACATGCGAGACAATGCGGCCGATGGTGCGTGGAGTATTTGCCGAAAAACGCGTGGCAATAAGCGAAGACAAATTCCCCCTCATCAATTAAGCGACACCGGCGCGAGCATTTTCGACATTTTTCTCAAAAACGCCACCCGCCCGCCGGGAATTATGAATCATCACGAGTTTGAAGGCGCGCCGCCGTGTTTCTAATTAGTCATTGTAGCGTGCAATTATCTACACACCAAATAAGATCAAAGCGACGCATTTATTACGTTGATATTCAGAAAATGCGTGTCCAAAAACGCAACTTTAAAAGCGCTTTTCGTATTGGATGAGTGTGCACATGTTGCACGTTCCAGGCAGGACGCGCATTAAATCGCATAAACATCGTACCTACATCCCGAGCATATGTAGTTTTTTATTGAGCTGTTTTTGCTTGCATAAATTTCGTCTGCTTTCCATTCATATATCTTTTGTCCGCGGCCGGTTATTGCCCGAATCACGTGGCGGTGTTTTTTCCGGTGCGAGATTTTTTGCGACGTTGACCATCGTCTCGTGTTGCAAAGCCTCTCAGGTTTACAAGGAAATAATGACCATAGAAATATAACGATCGGCACGCCGATAAATTACCGCCGTCAAAAATCAACTACATGTCTTCCTTGACATAAATATATTTATAAATATATTTGCTTGCAATTCAATAGGGCTCAAACGGCACAATATGCGTGCCTCCAGTGATTTATAAATCAATAAAAAGCGAAAGTTATAAATCGTCGCCCCAGCGAGGACGAATTTCGAATGCAGTCGCCAAGTGAAGTGAACCTGTAGATTCAAGTTCATTGGTACTGCAGAGAGGAGAAAAAAAAAGAGTAAAAATAAAGAAGTATGTGCTTTCGTGGAGAAGTAGATGAGATGATGAATGTGAAATCTCTTTTTGGATTTGAACCAGTAACGAGCTGTATTATACTGCACAGGCTGGCGATGCATGTGCAAGCAACAGAAAAAAAAATCCGAAGAAAAAAGTAATGTATGACGAAAATAAGAATCAAACGAATACGAATTTCGTTCGGTAAAGCCTGAGCCTGATTCCCTAACAAGAATTTATGTTTCCTTTGAAATTTACACAATTTTAACGAATCAACATGAGTGCTTTACGCTTTCTGCGCGCTTCATCATTACTCTTCATATTGTCGCGTTATTTACGAATCGCGCGTAAATTTTGTTGGGTGTGCGCCACATCAAACTAATTAACCCCGACAATTAATCATCGTTATGTTGTTGGAAACGTAGTAGCACCGCACTGCGGAGGCATTCAGTTTCTGAAACGAGTTAAACACGTTCTTATAGACCTATAGTACCTATGGAAGTATTTATTCTAATAAAAAGTGTCGTTTGACTTTCAGCACGATTATTTAATGAAATACGGGTATCTCAGTCACGACGTGGCCGGCGTCGGTGCACTGCGCACCGAGGAATCCGTCCGACAGGCTGTTAGAGATCTCCAGCGTTTTGCTAATCTGCCTGTGACGGGGGAGCTGGACGAACCCACTGCCCGGTTGATGATGACGCCAAGATGCGGACTGCCAGACGTCCAGCCAGGATCACGATCCAGGCGTAAGAAGCGTTTTCAAGTGCAAGGACAACGATGGTCGAATACAAACCTGACATGGAGGTTGGTATATAGATTTTTTGTTTGTTTTTGATCATGCATGTATTCCGTATGTACTATGTAAAAGTATGAGGAATATTTTTAAGTTAACGCCCACGCGTTTTAAACTCAACAAGTGGTTTCGCTGTGCTGACGAATGCTGGCATCTATAAAATCATTCCGAAAGTTCTACAGCAGGCACCGACTGGTGTAAAAGCTCACTTTGCTTTGGCGTAGTGCTTCGAGATGGCGCTGTAGGGATTAAAAGCTCAATATGCTCGTGCCTTGAGACTTTTGAAAGTTGATTGTATGAGTTACAGCTTATAATGAGAAGTTCTTGAATCGGAGCTTATTGTAGTTTGATTCTTGCGAAATTTCTTTCAATAGAACGGATCAAACTCGGCGCGGAGTTTTGTTGAAAATTTCCGATGGTTTCCGGAATGTTGAAAGTGCTTAAAGCTTCTTAAGTTGCCAGTCGAAAGTAATTAGGTCTTGTTGGAAAGCACGTTTTGTTTGCTTTGCGATTCGCTTTCAATTTGCGCGCGATTGCCGGCGACTTTTTGCGCGCGCTCCATCGCCTCGGCTTTCAAGTTCTGATCAGTTGATCAAATCACTATTGCATTTCTTTTAAATTCCCCAAAGGACTTAGACAAAGCCTTCTTTCGCCATCCGCATTTTACCTTTATCGCGCCGCTCTCGCGGTTTAATATATTTTAGAATAGGTGCACACTTATCCGTCTTAGCGCATGCAGGCGGCAAGACACCGAATGTTTCGCGAAATTTTCCAGCTTTGCGCTGGTCGAATGGCGAACTGATTGCGTGTGACCCAGTGAATAGCGCTAGGATGCGTTGCATAACATAGCAATAGTCGTCGTACCCCCTTGAGCCCTAAGTGCCTTTGGTTTTTGTGCCTGCGGCTGACGCGCCGCTCCCCGGCATCCGTGGGCCGGGGGCGGGCGGGTCGGCGGCGCACTCACGGCGCGGCGCGCCACATCAAAACACCCACCGATGTGCCTCAGCCGCGACACCCGGCAGCGAAGGGGGTGCGCTCGCGCGAGTGAGGAGCGCTTGACAGATCGCACTCGACTCGTCTATAAGCCTTGTCGTTACCTTTATTGTCTCCCAGCTCGTTCTATCGCGGTGGCGGTGGCGGCGTCGTGTTTCGCGAGCGCGTATTAGATCCCGACCCCCCTGTACCGCATTCCGCTCGGCGCGCCCGCCGGCCCCCCGACCCACCAAGCGCTTCGTGCCGCCAGCTTTGCGCGTCGCATCCTAGTCACTTTTCACTTGTCAACCGCACCGCCGCCGCCGCCACCACTTCTTGGGTAACTCGGGTATCACTTACTTTCCTATTAAGTTGAATCGAATATAAAACGAATTAAATTAGCCGAGCATAAGTAGTTGTTACTACTTCAAAGAATCAGAAGCGCTCGGCAGCTGCGACCGCCCCCCCGCCTCCACCGCCGCTGGCGGAAACCCGAGTAGAACAATTGCGACTCCCAAGTTTTGTTTGGAAATTGTATTTATTCCACGGAGCGAGCGCTGTCGCGCTTCCTTCGGTGCTGCGCGCTGCTAATTGGGCTCCGAATTTCAGCAGCGCCTGTTTGAGCAGCCGCGTGCGCCGGAAAAGTATTTTAAAGAGAGAGGCGGCGCGCGCGTTAAATATTTGTTCGGACACTTTACGATTTCGAATTAAGGAACGCTTTGTTCTATTAGTTAAATTAACATCGAGCCATCGGTTCGGGTCCGTTTATTAGCGTCGCGTCGCGCGTCTCGTGTTAATTTAACTCTCCGTCGAATTCCGATACAGGCACAAAGTTATCAACATGTGTGAGCGCGGCCAGCGATATGAAATAGAAAATAGATTACACACCTAATTTAAATTGTACCATTTGCACAGCGCCCGTCGCGATTCGAATGTCTGAATCGAGTTCGGAAATTAAGCGTTTCGAATTTCCAACCGTTCGCGTTTGTTCCGCGAAATTTGACATTGGATCATTTAGCATCAATGATCAATGTTGCATCCAACGAGTCAATCAAACTACAAAATTCTTTTTTGCTTATCGTAAATTTGAGCCTGAAACGCTACCTGCTACGCTTTGGTAAAGTTAATAACTCTATGAGCGCGCTTCTTTTATTCTGCCCTTTCGCGCACCCGCGAATAAAAACGCGCGCTGTAGCTGGATATTTCCATTTTCAACGCTAATGATATTTAAATGTCATCGATCGCATTAAGGTCGCTTAATGTAGCGCGCTGGCAATATGCGTGGCGTCCTGCAGGAGTCTCAATCAGTCATCAACAACAGATGTATCTGCCACGTGCGCGTCCTTCGCGATTCGGCCAGCACTGCTTATGGAAATAATGAGATCCACTAATTATTTAATTAATCGCTTGATTAATACTGTGTGCACTTTAGGCGAAGTCTAAATTGTCGAGTAATTAATTACTCGCTCAATCAATCAGTGGACGGCGGTACTGATATGGAGACGAATACGCATTGCGTAAATCTGCTCGATGACTCGATTTCATTGTTCGCTCGTCGTCCTGCGCTCGAACTTGACGGGTTTGTGGGACGCACACAATTTTGAAGGGCGCGTAGCGTTGATGCCTTGTCAAGTGCATACCAATACCTCTACCTGCTTTTACGCTTCATTATCTTCGTTAATTTTTGCGCGGTAAGGAAAATTCACTGGATTTGTGTTTTTTTCCCTCTCCCTGCGCCGTAAGTGGGGTTGTTGAGGAAAAAAATGAAAATTCTTAACAAATTTTGTGTTTATTACAGTTGCATGAGGTATGTGCGCTGTGTGACAATTACAACTATGTCATTTTTGTCACTTTTCCAATTTAATTTCAATCAGCGACAGCATGCGGCATCCGTTTCACTCGAGGATTTATTTCCCCGCGATGCTCTGCATATGCTGCGATTTCGGGGCCGGGGGGCGCGATTTTCGTATCGGCCATCGGCACTTGACGCATTCGATTCGATTTGTGTTTTTTTTTTCCTGTTCCGCGGCGGGCGTGTGCAAACTTTGTAAAATTGAAACAATGAAACTATGAAATCACGCGCAGGACATGCCCGTGTCATGTTCATGATTTACATCCGCAGCGCATCGCGAAAAGTTCGCGCGCTCTGGCAGTTTTTATTACATCGCGGATTAAATATGTAAAGTGTGTGGGCATTGACGGTTAATTAACTTTTTGTTCTTTGCGCTTAAAGGAACTGTCATGTTAGCGTGTACGTCACCGTGGAAACACACGTATGCAGGGCGCGCGTGACGCGCGGGAGCGGTGCGTGCGTTTTGTTGAAATACCCGCGAATTGTCCCGCGCCGCCCCCCTTGGCTTGCGTCGCCCGCCACTCACGGGTATGCCGCGTGCATCAGAGGCCCTCGACGCGATGACGCTGCACGCGCGGCGCGATGATACAGAAATGGAAATGTGTCTGCCGTTGACACACACGATATTGAGAGATTGGGACAATAAGCAATTGTTGAAATACTAATAATAAAACAACTGGACGCGGGCGGCGGTTGCGAGCGCGTCGAATGTGTGTATTAACAAGCGCGCCCCGGCGCACTTCAGGCGCCCCGCTTAAAAATACTAGACGAAAAGAATCAAAGTCGGTTTCAATTAAAATTAATTGGTCTCGTGATTCGATTCGATCAACACACACACACTTCTAGATGTTCAAGTGTGGGACATGTACGGGTATGCAAAACGAGCATATTTACTATATTGTTTTGTAGTGACAGATTGAAAATCGTCCCCGCATTGTGTATTTGTTACGCGGTTTTGTTTCGTTTATTCCGGAAAATGCGCGAGTCTCTCGAATAGCTCGTTTTCCAGCGCGGTCAAAAATTGCGTGCGCTCTAATTTGACTTGGTTGTTTGTGCCAATCGGTCGCGGCGGGGTTTGGGGGCGGCGGTGGTTCTGTACTCGAAAAAGTGCGCGCGGCGCGCAAAACCCCGACGAAATGCGATTTGCCCCCTCGGCGCGCCGTTTTCCACTAATTATATTTTATAAATTGCGCGTTAATTTAATTGGCGCCGATGTACAAATTGTACTTGCCATGTTTAGCGTTCGGTGCTCGATCTTGTAATCGACGGGGATGGATGGATGGATGAATGACTGCGTGTTGTTGTCGGTGTCGCAGCTGATTGCCGATCGACAGGCATTGCCGATGGGTCTTGACGCGTCGCCGCCGCTCTCGGAATTGATTTGAATTGATTTAGTTTGCGCCCTGTCGCCACTAGCCGCGATGTCGATAATACGCACTCTTTCATTTCAATAAATTTGATTTATTGTCGCACGCTACGCGCACACGAGATTATTTTAAAATATGAGTTAAAATAACCGCACAGGCTGCATTATCATACCATTGCCGGAATTATCATCATTACTGATGAACATGCATCGACATGGGCGTGGGTCTAATCCAAACAACCGATCCGAAATCCTATATAATTGCAAAAGTCAACAGAACGTATTAGGTTACGCGGTGAATTATTTTTGTCTGTAGGTATTATATATTTTATTTCGCGATTCGTGATTCGGCTTGTGTGCGTGTGCGACGCGCTATGATGCGACATGTCAAAATTCGATTTTAATTTAAATGTTAATTTCACTAGTGGGATGCCGCGATGCGTCGCAGTGCGTTTCGCACGAATCGCACGTATTTTTCTATTCGCGTTTAAAATTTCAATTAGGCTGAAATAATAGAATTTAATTAAATAATTAATAAATTAATGGAGTGCGCCAAATCGAATTAGAAAGCACTCACGATACAGGTCGGCGAATCGTTTGAAGATTACGGCATGAATTAACACGATTTCGAGTCCGACTCGAACGCATCTTGCACTTATCGGATGCGATGGATGCGAAGAATTAAAAAGGACTTATTTCCTCTTCACAATGTAACAAATGTACCGATGATTAGCCTAATTGAATTCGCCCTCTTCTTAGCAACGGCCAGCGACGCACTTGAATGCGGATATAGATCTGCTGATGAGAAAAGGCAAAGGCTT